CATCTTCACTAGCATCAAGGGTTGCAGAGTTCCAAACACCCAATGTTTGGGAAGAGAAACATAAGTTGCGATATAACATTTACCAAAGAGTCTGGTGTGGTGAATCTAAAGTAATTTCTGAGGAGTTTGTCCAGGTATTTACCGAAAAATTTCCCGACTTCAGCAACGGTTTCAGCGATGGTGACATTTTAACGCTGACATACTCGGTCTCTTGTACAAAACGATGCCTGGCAGGCGCTTCGTAATAACGGGTGACAAATGCAATAGCGGAAAACGTTACAAAGAGCGTTTTGTAGTTATGCTGCGCGCTGGGTGCTGTGGAAAGAAGCTAAAGACTTTGGTTATTGCTAAGTCGGCTAGAACACGTGTTCAAAAATCTGAGTCCTGGAAATCTTTCAGTCACCTGGAGGCCAAACAAATCTTCATAGATGGCTGGTACCCTGTTTGACGAGTGGATGAAAAATTGACCGAGAAATAATGAAGAAGAAACGATTCATTCTAATGTTAGTGAGTAATTATTTCAGTTATATCCATACAGAGAATCTCAAATATTTCACTAAATTTTCTACTTCAAATATGACCTCAAAAATTCAACCTCTGGATCAAGAGATCATCAAAATATTCAAAACCCATTGCGGAGCCAAGCTAATGCAGTGGGTGATAGCAAAAATGAATTCCAATGATCTGCATGCGGCAAGAACTTCATCTACTGCTTAAGTCAATGCTCTGGTTGCTGTGTTTTTGATAAGTTCCGTTTGGCACAAAGTTCAGCCAGAAACAATATAAAAGTGCTTCAAGAAAGCTGGATTCACTCAAACTCTCGAGCAGGACGCTGTTAGTTTACTAAACATTACATCTTCCATGACACGTTTTGAGGGAATGATAACTGAAGCGACGTATAACTCCCTAAAACTAATATAGGCATGCACCCCTCATATGTATGGCTTACCGAAGATGCGCAAGACCAACAGACCTTTAAGATCTTTATTATCCATGTGTAACTCACCATAGTACAAGCTAGCGCGTTGGCTAGTTGATCAGCTTATACCGGTGAGACGAGTGATGACAAAGCATACTGTGAAGGACACATTCAACCTGATTGACTGTGTGCAAAACATGAATATTGCTGACAAGGTAATGTGTTCAATGGACATATGTCATTAACATTCCATTAAGCCAAACGGTGGATTTCTTCTGTGTTTATCATGAATAATAGTATCACCGATTCCCGTGGAATATCTTAGGGATTTGCTGATACTATGCATGGAAAATGTGCATTTCTTACTCGAAGACAAGCCGTAGCTACAGGTGGATGGTGTAGCTATGGGAAGTCCGCTTGGCCCGGTATTGGCTGACATCTTCATAACGATGGCTGAAATGAGATGTGAGTCGCGCATCAAGCAAATATGTTTATACAGCCGATACGTAGATGATACACTAGTGATCGCCCCAAGTAGATACGCTTTTCTATCCCTTCTCAATGTGTTCCATAACGCACATCCAAAGGCCCGTTTTACCAATGAATTGGAGGATAACAATTACCTTCCGTTTTTGGATGTGTTGTTGACCAGACGAGAAGACGGGTCCATAAAGCGTTCTGTTCACAGGAAAGCTACATGGACAGGACTGTATGAACACTACAACAGCTTCGCCCCTATTCAATGCAAGCGGTGCTTAGTCAAGACACTACTTAATCGATCCCGCAGAACATGCACTGACGACTGTTTGGAATCGAACTTGCTATTTATCACACAGACGGTAAGGACCAACGGATATCCAGAGGCGTTTATTCGATTCCACAGTCAACTGAAGGAAAACAGGCGGAGAGTATTTACTGTGTCCAGACTGTCTGTCTACCTTCAATTACCTTCCAAAGGTGATATCGTGGCCGCCCAACTTGAAAGAAGTTTGCATACAGCGATTCGCCGGCATTCAACGCCGCCAAATTCTGCCCCATTTGGGAGACCAAGAAGTTGCCTACGCCTCCAATGAAGCTTAACCGATCTCCGCAACAATCCATTGTATTTACCAATTTGTTTGTAGCTGCGGAAGTAGTTACGTTGGCAGAAGAGATCCATACTTGGGTAAGCGCATTGGAGAGCATATCCCTGAAAGGATTGCTAAACTATCGACACAACAAGCAGCCGGACAATAAAAGGTATCTAAGGTGCCGACATCATTTATCACCAGACATCTAATCGAAACTGGCCATCAGGTTGACCCTGGGTCAATATTTAAGTTATCTGTCGTAATGAAAACCCCAATGTTTTCAGGTTTGCTGAAGCTGTGACACTTAACCGGCATCGCCCTATCCTTTGTGTACAGAAACAAGTAACAGTCTCCCTGAAGCTTCCTTTTAAGCTCGTGACCCTGAAATCAAGCTTGCTGATTTGTTTTTCTCTTGCCTACATACTTTTCCTTTGTGACCAGTATCAAACCTTCGATTTTTCTGTTACGTGATTCATATTTATGTTGTTAGTTTGCGAATGAGCAGGTAACACGAAATGGTTCCATCTCGCAATACCAGCCTTCTCATTGTCTTAGTTAGGCAGTGCTTTAGATTTGCAAGAGTTTATTGAAACAGGATGACTTGGCAATCAGCACTAAAGCATCCCATGGTGCTATTTTCAAAGAGACACTTATTGCTGTACACCCCTAAGGAAAGAACCCAGAAGCGCCGGAGAATAAGCCCTAAATGAAGATGACATGCGAATCGCATTGAAAAGAGACTAATGTCCGGCATCCTTCAATGCAACTAAAGCCATTTTCTGTGGGAAAACCTCCAAGCATGCTGAGTATGGTAGCTTGTGCTGAGATCCCTTTTTCAGTTACCTATGTGATAAGAACAAGAAACGGACAACAATTGATTTCTCTTCAAAATATCATTTAATATGCGAAATGCACAATGCGTTTTGAGTTATTATCACACTGCGTTTGCTCTTACGTGAGACCTCTGTTATAACTTTCTCTTAGTAGTAAGAAGATAGAATTGACGTGGATTGAAAACGTTTCTTTGCACAACTGACGTTACAACCAACTGTCGGAAAAGTCTTTAACTACACACTTGGTCGAAACCAATCGATGCTCACGTGCCAGGTGGTTGGCTGAAAGTTCCAAGCTAACATACAAACACACGCGTTGGAAATCGATCGATTTTCACGTGCTGTCCATGTGGCTGACATCCGTGATCACTCTAATTTGATTTATTATAACATTGCGTTTGCTCTTACGTCAGAAGTCTTCTAATGCGTTCGAAACGGGTTTATGTGAAAATGAAATTTCCTACTATACTACACACAAGGGGAAAAGAGGTTACGCTAAGTTTTGGCATAGAACTTCATTTTGTTGACTACTTTGGTCCATTCCCTTGGATGGTTAATTAACGGAGGTTCTACTTTATTTTCGATCTACTGCTTCGAACAAGCGGTACATGTGAGCTGCTCTAATAGCAGCCTCGGCATATACATTTTATACAGCCCGTTATGGGCAGATGCATTGATTGCACATACGCCGGAACGAGCGACAGTTCCGGATGGATCCAAGCCACCTGTGATCTCTCACTGACCATGGTTCAACAGTCGTAGGGAGAAGCTACGTCATATTACTGGGCCCACTGTATCTAAAATCTGTGCTCCGCGCACAGTTGCCACAAACGCTTTCTGTTGTTCGTTCCGTCGGTGTTAACTTTACACTTACCACCTAGCTTAGTGTCTGGAGCGTCCATTGCAACAACGCCGTCAACTGAACTGCTAACATAGTAAAGCGGCGTATCCAGTCTGTGGTATAAGGCGTTCTTGACAGTAGCAAAACTTCAGTTGCTGGAGGCAGAAATGTTAGTCATAAATAAACCACCTCAAGTGATACTTGGTGAATAAAGCTCTATTGATTCCATCAAACGGGCTGCACAAAAACGGCTGCTCACGATAATACTCTCAACTAGTAAGGATTCTGCGTTGCAGCTAAGAACGAGGTACGCCCAACTTGACCAGTGATTGGTGTCTCAGCCTCTCCGGATGCAGGTAACCAATCACGAGAGGAAAAATTGGGGCAGCTAACTCAATAACCATGTGCGGGGCATTGATCCTGTTTACGGGCACGCAAGGAACCTCGAGGACTAGTGTTCTATGTGAGTGAGAGTGCAGCCCACTGACCTATTCGTCTTGGAGTGCAAAAGATGATGGCCGTCAGAGAAGTGGTAGCAGACTGGTCTTATACGGAACTGTTGCTCATATGCATCTAGTGGATGGCACGGGCAGATAGCTGCGGATAGCAGAGATCCAGTGTTATTGTAAATATTATCAACCTAGCTAGGGATTACAAAAGGAAGGTCAGCAATGAGGGCAGAGAGGGGGTTAAAGAAGCGGAAGAAAAGGAAAGTGAGGCTGCAGTGTTTTTAGATGGACGCGTAGTTCTGTCCGGAACTAGCTGCCATATGCAAGCTGTTCACTTAGTCAGGGTTAAAAACCTTGAAAACTAGGTTATACAAGGGGGTTGAAATGACCCAACCAAGCAATTTGCCTATCGGTGATGTCAGACAGACTTTACTTGTTAAAAGTTACTACATCTTGCAAGAACTTATAACAGACTATATCAGGCATATCGCACCTGCCTGAAGAATGCAGTTTGTGGTATTGCACACTGCTGATGGGATATCTGTGTGCACTTCTAATTACCTCACGGGAAGCGAACTTACAGGTTAATCGTTTCCGTAACCCCTGTTGGCGGAAATGAAGAATAAATATGCTGAAAATATGAAAATAGATGAGAATTTAAAAAGCAGCTTTGCTTGGCATTAACTCCTACAGGGGAAGATTGATGATTATTAACATGATTGTAAACTATGTTAGGTAATCTCAATTTCAGTGTAACTTAGGCCGCACGCGAATATGATACTCAAATTTTTATCATGATCATTCTCATGCCTGCTGACCGTAAAATTTCTCATTGCATTCAGGCACTAGTTGAAATGGTATTCTTCTTAATGCATCTAGTCGATTCTCATGTTGAGATGCTGCACGGCTAGCCATAGCAATAATAAAGCAAGTGGCTCACAAGTAAGGCAAAATATATGCTTTACTGGTATAGACCATCTTACACATTTTGACCAGTTAAAGTGTGTCCAAATTAGTTGTTATTGGGAGCTCATTGAACCTTGTCAGAGAACCTTAAAACAATCGAAACTGCAATCCGAACGCTGCACTGTGACTACAGGCCCAGCTGGTTTGGACGACGGTGTGACAACCGCTGAGAAGGAGGTGCCTCCTGAGCTGAATGATGCCATTTTTGCTACCATTGTACAAGTGCAAAGGAAGCAATCAGTGTTGCACGAATTATCCTGGCATCAACTTGCTGAGTTTGTTAGCAAGGTGAATGCCTGAATCCTGCTAAAACGACTCGTCAGTCAGGTTGTGGAACCGAAGGTGGCGGAAGAGCAATGTGGATTCCGTTCGGGTCCCAGCACCATCGATTTGGTGTTTGCAGCTCGTCAGTTGCAACAGACGTGTAGAGAACAGTACAGCCTTTGTACTCGCTGTTTGTTGATTTCAGCAAACCAATTGTTACGGTGGCTCGCGAGGCATAGTGGCTCGTGTTGTGTAAGTTAGGTTGTCCGAATAAGTTTGTCAGTTTAATTGTATGTCTTCAGAGTGGTATGCGGGCGAGGGTGAAGCTGAGTGAACAGACCTCGGATGACTTATCAGTTGTCTCTGATGTGAAGCAAAGCTGTGTCTTAGCTATTGTCCCGTTTAATGTTTATCTTCACGCCATGATGTCTTGTGCTTTTGATGTGGCTTGCGCTTACGTTATAAGTTTGGAGCACCGTATTGATGGTGGGTTGCTGATCATCCGTCGTTTCGGTGCGATAATCCCAGTCTGTGGAACAACTGCGCCTATGTTGCTATTCGCTGACGAGTGCGCAATGTGCGGATGTGTTGCAGCACATGACTAGTGCTCTGGCCTAGACAGCGGTCAAATTCGAGCTAACCAACAACACAAGAAAAACTGTCTGTCTCTTTCAGCATTCCCCGGAGGTGCACTCTGCAATATTGCCCCAAATTAGCGTTGGTGATGAAGGGTTGGACCCCACCTTGGGAGTGGGATTCCAACTGATCAGCAGCTACACAGTAAACTTCGTATCCGAGTATCGAAGGCAGCGGCGGCCTTCGGGTTACTTGAGTACCGAGTGTAGAACGACCACCAACTTACCGTCAGCGCGAAGCTGATGTTGTACAATTCCATAATGCTATCCTTTCTTCTATACAGCAGCGTAACGTGCACGGCGTACCGGCGAGATGTGAGATATCTAGAGCGGTTTCATCAACAGTTTCTGAGATGGATTCTTTGCCTCACAGTAGCAAACACGGAGGTGCTGCGCCAAAGTGGAATGTATGTAGTGGACTGCATACGTTTGCTGCGACACTTGAGGTGGCTCGGTCATGTGTGGCGTACGGATTCGACGCGGATACCAAAGCAGACATTCTATGGTCAACTGAGGGCTGGAAAGCGGCATGTGGGGAAACCGAAGCTTCGTTACCTTGACATGATAAAGTGCTCCTAGCACGTTCTAATGCTGACTGCATGTCATGGGAATCCAAAGCGGTTGATCGGCATGCATGGCGCGATCTGATCACGAAGGCTTTGTCGAAGTGCAAGAGAAAGCCCTCGTACATGCGGAGGAGAAGCGGCAGTTGCAGAAGCGATAGTCGCCGATAGGTTGTACTCCATCGACGTCGAGGGCATACTGTTGTAGCACATGTGGTCGCGAGTGCCTGACTCAGGCAGACCAAGTTAGCTACAAACCAAGCGACTCGGGACCAGCATCGAAACGACGACGTGTCCTGCTAAGAACGTCAGCAGAAACGGCGCAGTGTTGGTAGGTACACTGCATTCGATTTACTAACCACGTGCTTGCGTACTGACTTTCTTTATTTCAGGTGGTGGATTTGCTATCGTGTCTCAATGCATATCGTTTTGTATCTTAACTTCTACCTGACCTTGAACACGTTCCCTTAGCTAACCGTGGGTATCTTCGCTAACAATTTCGCATTTGTGGCATTTTTAAATTAATCGCTTTTAGGATGTCTTTTACTTATTGTGGATTTCTTGCTAACCAATTTATTACATATATTCATTTAGTGTAAATTTATGCCGGCATTTCCATATGCTTTATCCGTTATTTATTATTTGTTACTCTCATTTCAAATGATTGGCTGTTGTTTGACATCCCCGGTGTGGTTGCGCTTGATGTGCATGTTGACAAGATGCCCACCTGTCTAATACCCACTACCTCGTCCATATTGACCCCAGGAGACAGTTGATCGTTGATGTAGGAGACTGGGTGCATGTTCCACGTGACTGTGCTAGGCTCGAAGTATGGTTCCATGCACCCAGTTTGGAGCGGACTACGGTCCAGCCACCGCCTTGTTTGCGATTGTTTCCCAAATATAACTTGCTTGTGTCTGCCTGTAAAGGAGTGTGGGCCGGCTCAATTGACGAAACGTGGCCTACATCCACATGCCTTCCGGTCTTATTCCTTCGGGTTTACACTGGATATGGGGTGTGTGGTTGGAGCTGTGGGTGGTGCATCGCAAGCCACCCATGGTCCCTCTGTAAGCGCAGGCCTGCTGTGGCTGTCGTACGGAGGCCACATTGTCAGGCAAACCTGGAACGGGATGCCGCCAGCTATATGACTACCGAACTAAACCCATCAGTTTCTAGCAAGGAGGGCTAGGTTCCGCAAGGCTGGGAATAAAGCCTTTTACGATGAAGACAAATCGACCTGTTGACTGACCAAGCACTCACCTTGTGGAAGAAACCTGACGGCAGCAAAAATAGTCGCTTTTTCCTTCTCGACTCACTAGTTTACAGTCGTAATCTTTTGCATTCGATGTAGATAAACTGTCAAACATATTCGTCAACCACGAACCTAACACCAGCGTTGCACAGCGATAGTTTATAGCAAAACTGGCACTCGGAATTCCCTAATTAACAAATCCGCTCAACCCAAGATACTTGGCACGGTTGTCTTCAATCGTGTAACGGGGTACGATTAAGTTCTTCCTATACTCCACCACAACCAGAAACTGGCATTAGGCACGATTCTCAGACATGATTTGTCTCAGTTGCATTAAATAAAATATTGTTCTCAGCAACAAGCAACCGATTAGGCCAACGATTGCCATTCAGAGTTGTACATAGTAAGCTCAAGTGACTTACAGTACAAACCCTCGAATTCTTTGATTCTGGAGGGGAATACTCTTAAAACCATCTCGCTAGCGAGCATCTGATTGTGGGTAAATTAAAGAAAACCCACTGATTTCTTAGAACACATCATTATAAAATATTTTTGTAAAGTTTGATAGAATAAAACAGAAGGGAAGAAAAAATCATCTCCGATTGACATCTGCAAAAGATACTACCCATCGATACTTTGAGCTGGATACAAGGAAACAGTCGCTTTATCCAAGAGAACGCAAGAAACAACTTGCAAATTGAACATTATAGTAACGATGATCACTCGCATGACGAGTAGCAACTGAAAGATATAACCAGCACTGCCTGATTTGTACATGTGGGATATTGTATCCTACCAGCCAATCTGCACATCGGACATATCAGTTATCTCATTGTCAATGGATGCTATGTTTCAGATTAGAAAATAAAAAGGAAGTTGAGGCGGACTTCAATAGCAAATGTTGTAGCTTGGTATCCTTAAGTCATCTATGTGGCGCATGAATATACAGGAGACAGAAGGTATTCCACAGTAAACAGGTTTTTTTCGGACCTTTTGCGCGTTTCAACACACAGTTGTTTTTTCTTATCATCGATATTCTGCTTCGTGGTATAGGCCATATCGCATACATCCAACGTATCACCAAGTGGACTTTTCTTCAATTCGCAATACACTGTTTCTTTTGTGTAGATGGGAAATTGATGCATTATGGAATGCACTGTTTTCACTGGGTTCTTGATTTGCACTGGGTGGGGCATAATTTCGTTAGGCATTTCTGTCTTCTGGCTGTCTCCACAGTTATCGGAATCCATAGAAACGCGGCTTGGAAAACGGACGTTAGAATTACATTCTTGTTGCTCATTAAATTCTTGCCCTAGCATCATTGATTGCTTCCATGTATAGGTCACACTCGCAAAAGGAGTTTCGGGCTTCCCATTTATAGTGCACTTTCGTCGCTGAACCATTTGAAGTTGCTTTTTGACTAGTCGCATGCGACGCCTTTCTACCCTGGTGAATTCGCGTCTCAACAGTTCTTGTGGGTCTATCGGTTCACCGGAACAGGTCAAGGGTTTCGCATTGTGTGCTGGTCTCCCAGGACCTGAGACAAACAGAAATTACCGCGTTTATATAGGGATGTGTGTATTCTTCTTGTCTCTCTAAAGCTGATTAAGGGACTAAGTGAACCAACCAATAAATATATGACAATTAACAGAAATATCAATTGGGGAGAAATGTCACCTAAAATATAATTGATATTCAATGTCTTCACAAAATGATAAGCTGTTTTTATAATTGTTACTCGACGTAAACATTCTCATGATTTTGCACTTTGTCCAAATGTGGTTTTAGGTATACGTAAGTCAATCTGAAGATTAGCAGGTGACCTCTACCTCCCAAGCATGGAGTTTGATGGCTGCTACACTGCTCACGCGGCGTTCCCAGAGCACCGATAGTAACAGCATGCTGCATTACTTATACGCAGTAAAGGAAAAGAATAGGGAGTCACAGGCGAACGGACCTGGTGTCAGGCCACTAATGTGTGTCTGTATATCCATGCTTTGATTCATGTATGTACGTAGATCGGTCGTTTGACCGTGGATTGAATACTCAAGAATCTTAAATCCGGTGAGTGGGGTCAGTTTCATCAGAGGACGCGGCGATTTTAATTTGATATTACCTACATGTCGAAGTTTCTATCAGCTGAACCAGTAAGTGGTTATTCTTTAAAGACAAAAAATCTCTGCCTGTATAGCGCTCAAACTAACATCCAGACAAGTAATAAAGCAAACGGTACGAGACCAATCAGTTAAGTAACATCACCGGGATTATAATAGCGAAATTCCAACATAAAACACTGTGACTACCACAGCAGAGACGAACGGAAATTGATGTATCTTGTTGTACTAGTGAGAGGTACTCAGTGTTAGGGATTTGAAGTTTTGTTGTGACAAACAGGATGGTTACCAGCGGTCAACTGGAGAAAATTTAGTCATTGAGACATCTGCTCATAAAAGCCTTTGGATCGTGGAAGAAAAATTTTAATTTTCAGCTTCAGATTGGTTTGACTCAATACTTGGCACACTGAACAAAATGAACAGGAGACTAGTTGTTATATGATGGTTTGTTCTGCTGGAGGATTACGGCGTTAATGTATAATCTAATACCCAGCATTCTAAACTTACTTAAAGAGGATTGGTGTGACATAATAGCTTCCAGTGGACGCAGAGACCTCCGAGAATCTAACAGTTTTTACTGGACTCAGCTACAAACTAACCCAGTCAAATAAAAATTACAGAAAGCATTGGTCGCCCACTTCATTGTTTCAAAGTAACCTAACTGAGCATATCTCACTGTACTCCCTTGTGATCAGTAACCTAACCATATTTTTAAGGGGAAAAATTCTAGTTCTTGTATCCCCTTAAGCGGTTGAAAATTTAATTTTTTAGCTTGACGTGTCAGCCGCATACAAAGTAGTAGTGTTTGGACTGTTTTATAAATCAACAGCTAACTGGTTTTAATGTCTAATAGCATGCCGGTAGCGTCGTCACTCAGCCGTTCTCAGGTTTGCACTGTTTAGTAACTCCGACTCAGCAAAAGACCATGAGATTCCAATAAGTACGGAAAAAAGGAGAAATTGCCTTCCAATTACTTCTTGGTTTGATGACTAGCTAGTTGAGCCGAAATGTTTTTTGTTTCACTCAAAGCATATGTTTACATTTAAACCTATTGAACTACAGACATGCGCCAGATCAAACCAACAAAACTAGCCTACTGAAATGCGATGTACCACGACTTCCCCTAAACCAACTAATGGCAGACGCTGGTGGCCGAACGGTAAGAAAGTAACCGCGTACATAACGTCGGTGCTTAAATGTTACTGTTGAACGTCACAGTTAGAAAGGTAGTCATGCAGCTACTGATGCTCTAGGGGCCTTTGGAATCCAAACGGTCACGGATCCATCTGACCTACAATGAACGCGCAAATTTTGTCCTTATTTGTTTTTATTTGTATCGCGGCATTACACCTGATAACATGCAAAACAATGCATTGGCTCCTTTGCACTTACCTTTACGTGTATTTTCTCTCTTGCGCCATTTTGCCCGCCGATTCTGAAACCATACCTAGAGTGGAATGAGTAGAATGGTAATCGATGATCGCGATCAAATTACCTAGATGTTTTATCGTACATGTACACTATAACTAGTTACGGATGTAGTTTAGAAGTAGTGGAATATCATCTGAGATGATAAACAACAGAATCCACGGGCTATTTCTCTCAGTAGGCTAACGTTTCAGTTGCAATGCTTCAAACGTATTTCTCGACACATGGTAAAAATTTGATATAGATGCAAGATAAACTAATCGTAGGAAAACTGAAGTGGCCAGTACTAAATCAATCGCCACTACTACGCATTGATGATGTCACCTCGATTGGTGACGAAACCTAGGCGGTCGAATTGCTCCGCTCAGCGAGCGAAACATCATTTGAACACAAAACCCTAACTACCATAACTCAGCTGACGGCAGGCAAAGGCTCGTGCATGCACAATCAGTTCAAAATATCTCTGCCTTAATTGGATAGTAAGGAACACTTTTCACACAAGCCTTATTGGAGGCAACCAACTGTTCCACCGCACATACGTACTGCAATTTCCTAGTGGTCGAGTTGATAACGATTACCTACATCGATTTGAGGCGTGTTCGGGGACTGTTAAATATTTAGCATTACTTGACTGAAACAATGTGAATTGTGCTGATTGAGAAAAAATTTCGTTCTTAGATTCTAACGTTATGGCTGGCGGCATCCGGTTCCGGATTTGTCTGTCACTGTGGTCAGCCACAGGACGCCTGCGCCTACAGAGGGACCATGGATGGCTTGCGATGCACCACCCACAGCTCCATCCACACACCCCATATCCAGTGTAAACCCGAAGGAATAAGACCGGGAGGCATGTGGATGGGAACCACGTTTCATCAACGGAGCCGGCCAACACTCCTTCACAGGCAAACACAAGCACGCTGTATTTGGGGAATCAATGGTACACAAGACGGTGGCTGGACCGTAGTCCGCTCCACACTGAGTGCATGGAACCACTCTTCGAGCCTAGCACGACCACAAGGGCCGTGCACCCCGTCCCCTCCAGCAACGACCAACTGTCTCCTGGAGCCAGTATGGACGAGGTAGTGGGTAATAGACAGGTAGGCACCTTGTCAACATGCACATCAAGCGCAGCCACACCGGGGATATCAAACAACAACCAATCATTCGAAATGCCGATATCGATTAAACTAAACGCATATGACGACATAAATACTCGCTAAATGAGCATATAGAAGAAATTGGTTATAAGTGAATCTGTGATAAGTACAAAATGTCCGAAAGTTAGTTAAAAAATACCACGCGATAAAATTAAGCAAGTTTACCACAATTTGCGTGAGCGACGTGCGCAAGTAAGGAGAAGATTATCAAGTACACAGAACATACCAAATAACATGTAATGAATTTTATCCCCATCAAAAGACCTAGTTTAAGTGTAAGTTGGTTTAGCCCAACTGAGGTGAAGAAGCATCATGAATGCAACATTGCCGAATATATACTATCAGAACAGCCCACACCTTGCGAAATTCCTCCACCGACCCTACCTGTAATAGACATTGTTCACTGCCTAGACAATGAGACTAAAAATTCTTTCTAAATTTTTCCTGATAATTTATGTGTATTTATCGCAAACTGTCATCACAAGAGAGGCCAAACACATTTGAAACCAATTTAGTGGCATTTCTCACTACGTACGACATAAGTAAAACACAGATTTTAATTGCCTGCAATGTATTAATTGCGTCTGGCTTAAACAGTGCAAAACAGATGATGGAGCGACGCCACATCTCAGTATGCCTTCTGCACTGCTCGTAACTGAGGACTTTGGGACAACTTGCAGGTGAAGAACAAACTAATTAACCATGTATCCTACTTCTGACCTATTTATTTGTATTAAATATACTATTCGGGTGTGCTAGACTGACAGTTAGCACTTTCTAAGGCATTCTGAAAGGGGAAACCAACCAAACCACTGTATCTTCTCCTCGCGTTATCATTGCAATATTATCGGCACAGCGCAGCCAACTGTAAGACTCCACCTATAAGCAAAGTCTAGGAGGAAACGCAACACCTTATGCATCCCATGTCTCATTCGCATTATGATATCTCGGAGATTTTATCCCACTATACTAAACTGACAGCACGCACATTTATGTATACTTTGGAAGGTGAAGCCAACCAAAAAGACATATGCTAAGACAACAATACGTTTCCGTTGCCTGGGTACGCAAGCCATAAATCTCCACCTGCAAGTGAAGACTGTAAAGTAAGCCCCGGAGTCCACCTAGCATCTCAAACATTCCGTAGCACACAACTCATCTTGCATGATCAAACCAAGTTGATGTCTAGACCTAGGAATTGTTAGACACCTCGCTTTAGTTGAGCTACCTCCCTATAGAGATACTACCTTACAGTAATCGGCTGATGCAGCTGGAGCTTTATAGATTCATATGGAGCTAAATTTATGTATTACTCCTAATTTTCTCCATCTTTTTAATCGTAGTAAAAGTTATCTGGCATAGACTTTCTGTTACTTACAAGTAACTTGCTTTGCACTATTTTAGTATGCATATTGTGTATCAGTTGTTTACTTTAGTTGATTGTTCCAATGGGTTCATCCTCTTTTGTGCTTCTTCTTCGTCTATGCACCCGTCGTCTTTATGGTACCGCCTACCTGCCCGTAACCAAACAACAGAAGGTCCGTGAACTGGTAGCCAACGACATTGAAAGTGCTAAATGAATAGTTTCACAAACCTACTTCCTGCAACTTTGCTTAATCCCCAAGCATTAACAGACCGGCATGGGTAGGCATGTTGCTCATGTAAATACGATCCGCCCATTTGTGCACACAGTGTCTCGGCACCACCAGAGATTTACACCGTTATTACTTCTAAAGTACGACATTCCTTTTCATGTTGGGATATCTGTGCTGGGGATTTATCTATGAATTTACCATCCGAAATGCTCCGAAGTAAACAGAAATTGCGTTCAGCGTCCAAGTAGTCAATTGCATTCTGTACTTGATGGATGGGTTTGTTCATTAAAATTATGCCACTCAAAGTAGTATAGAAAAGAAGATAGCTAGGAGGTGAGATCATCTTATATTTCAGAACGCCTCTTAGCATGGCCCACTTGTCATGTTCTGATTAAATCAATTCGCGGGATAAACACCCGAAAAAACGGTGCAGTTGCAAATATCGACGATAATTATAAACTTGATCCGAGCTTGCACTTAAATGATGACAGGTTAAAATATAATTTGAGAAGCTTAAAATGTTACTCGATCTCCACACTATGACCATGTCGTTTCAATGCTCAGTAACTGAGCAGTATTTGGTTGTTTTCGGGGTTATAAATGACGAAAAGAATCGGTAGGATGTAGCTAAGGATGAACTTGAAGGACTTGAACTTGAAGGATAGAAGTAAGTTTTATGAAGAGGCACTATGACTATGCATTAATTGTGAACGCGCAGTCTACTAGGATATGAAATATGAACACCTGCTATACTTGATCGCATTTACAATAAGGGGTATACAAGTGATTTAATCAGATTTAAAACACTTACTTGTATACGTGACTCTGGAAGGTCCAATCTTTGAGCCAATTCCTCGCGAGCACACATACTTGGATAATGACTCGTGCGAAACATCAGCTCAAGCTCTGTAAGCTGCTGTCCGGAAAAATTGGTCCGGGTGCGTCTTCGCTTCGTTGAACACACACCAGGTGTATGTGCAACGGTACAGACGGTACGCGCAGACTTATTTGACATGGCGGAAAGTATTGCATTAGAATCAAAAGGTGGAGTGCGATATACGCTCGGACATAAACCGGATTTGAGAGTGGGGGTAGATGAAGCTTTCCTCGGAGGGTTGTTTGCTAGCTCCAGTAGATGGGTTGAATCTGCGAGGTCTATTGTGCAAGAAAAAACTAGTTGTTTGGCAGATGCGTGTAAATGTTAAAGCCCAATTTTGGGAAGGATAAAAATCGTGCATAGGGGGAGGTTGGTCACTTTTGCAGACACCGACAATTTTAGCTGCGAGTTTCTGTCTCAACGTAAGAACCAGTTATTTGAAGCGACTAGACTATAAAGTATATCTGCGATAATTGGAAAATTAGCAACTGTTTTGCATCATTGAGTCTATTGGCGGGACTGATTTAATGCATGTAACATCCTTCCGTGAAGTACAGATGTAAGCCGAATTCTAAACGAAAACACTTCCTAGTTGTAGAAGGCATAGTAAACAACGCAACAACTCCGTTTTTCGGTTCGGTATACCAGCCATACATTTGGATTGAGACACATTACCTCAGTTTGAACCACGTTTATTCTGGTCAAGGCATCTGCATTCGAAGCACAGCTTTTTTATATTAAGGGCTTCAAACCCAGCATTTCACAATCAGTTTCATCCTTTTATGGACTTATTGCGTTAATACACAGGATGTTTGGGGTAGCTACGTAGTGGGCAATCGCCGTCTCACTGAGCTCCGCAGTTAGCTCTTGGCACGGAGGCTAGAAATCCACTGTTTTCTTATGTCAGCCGAAGTACGCGCTACTGTTGAAACTTATTCATGATTTGGGCTTCAATTTAGGTAGAAGTAAACCTTTACCTGATGAGATCAAGCATGCATGAAATCCGTCCTGTTTTGGTGTTGCAAAAAATTAACCGAATTTATTTTATGTGGACGTCGCTTAATTGCCACACTCTTCTCTCTGAATCGAACACAAGATCATTTTTCTGCCAAGTTATGCTACAAAGAAAAAAGTAGCATACCACCTCCCTAGATGCTACCTACAGATCTAGTGGTCCAAAAGCATGGCCAATACACTCGTAATTTGCGATGCCTACGGAACCAACCCGAAGCCTAAGTAAGATAACTCTATTAAGCATCATAATCCATGGCGCAGTTTGTCATTTCGCTCTTCCACTAGAGCTTAAGAAAGCATCCGCGACCAATGGATCCTCTGTGTATGTCAACACTTAACGCAGTGTTGCGTCTCTGCGTTGTGGGTAAACTTATAGACCAACACATTTGGAAGGTCAAAACTAATAATCTCCGTTTCAATAAAAACCGGGATTGATGACTGCAGGTGTTTCTTGGTTTTCTATCCCAGACATAGACCCTGTCATTTTGAGTTGTTAGAAAGACCTTATTCAGTCATTTAGTCAGGGATGAAGGTAACGTACTGCAAATTGGAGTACTTATATTTCGTGTGCACCGTCATGTTATGCATAGGAATCCTTAACTATTGCACTAGTCACGAAATAAACAGGCTCTAAACGTCTTTTTGTTCTTATGCGTACTATATTTGCAAACATATGTACTTGAGTGTCCATAGCTGCTCGTAAACTCTGACTGACTGAATAAGCACCAGCCTGCAATTCCCGTTTCCAGACCTGCTAAGGGTGATCCGTGCATTATCTTTATAGGAAGTTTAAGTTGATGGCGGCAGGGATACCTATTTCCTTTTATCAAGGGATGATAGAATTTGTTAAAGCATGTTAGAACACGATTTCACAAAGAATGATTCGATATAATCTGTCCTCCCAGTAGCAGTGAGCATTTGGTCGTTAGTTAGGCTCCATATGAGGGGGTTGATCATCATTACATTCGGTGAACAAGTTAGTGAAAAGTCCATAGAAAATAAATATATTGACCAAGACAGCATGTAGATAGCACAGTACTCTATTATAAAGCGAAATATAAGTATTCAAATTTAATTTACATTGGATTAAGGTAAATATGCAGATACATAGTTTCTCGCTTAAACTACCATATAGTTCTTATGGAGTAGATGAAGTTTTGGTGTTTGGGAAACCGTATCTATCCAATTGCCCCTTCAATATCTCGCAGTTTTTCAACTCTGCTTTGTTATTAAAAATAAGTGTTATCAAACTCGTAGGAAATCTGGCACTTCCAAAGTGAACACTGTAGAACATAACGAAAAAATGGGGGAAATTGACGGATATTTTAGTTGCAAAACTTTTGATTCTGCTTTGGTGGCCGTAAACGTATCTCCTTCCGTGGTTTGCTTGTGGAGGCATGTATTCTCAGAAAATATTTAATTATTTCCATTTCTTGCAAATTTTCTTCCATAACGCTGGAAGGTAATCTTGTTTAACATGCTTTTTGACTTCAGATTTTCGTGATGGTTTATCTGTTGATGATTTTCTCCTACTAAGTATTCTGTCAATATGGCGTGCGGAAAACCGAGACCCTTAAAAGCGCTCACACTGATGTTTGACCCAACCTCTAGGCAAGGCAGTGTATATTAACTCACATATCAGTATGGTTACTGCATCCAATTCATAGCTTAATACATTACACCCAGAATGGAAGACGAATTAGTATCTGGAGGCAATGAGGCTGATAAATGAGGGCATTGATTTAAAATAAAGCCGGACCTCTTGCCGACCAAGCATGGAACATGTGCTAGGGAAAAATTCATTTAATTTTTGCAAAAATCGTCGTTCGAATCAGTCCAGCAGAACTCAGTGGATATCTTGGTGCCTGGCGGTAGCCGCATCTGCCTTGTACTAAGAAACCCGTGTCCCAAGTAGATAAGTGGTCCCCAGTGCAATAGTTAACACGGTGTATTACCTACTCGTTCCGGTTAGATAAATGTGTTATTGTGAATTTTTCAGTCCTTGCAAGGAGACCTTCCGTGCTCGTCCTGTTAAGGTTGAGCTAAAGGGGTCAGTGATACAACCGTCGGGTGGCATGCAAACAACGGATCTATGGCAGGTGAAGCAAGAAGCACTTTCCAGTTTAGAGTATCTTTCTAAAAGAGCCGTAGTCCAATGTAAGCTGGCTACGTTTAGAGGGACGATGGTAATACAGCTACGAGAACAATATTGTATTCATCTCACCTACGCTGATCTTCAATTCTGACCATGCCGAGTCAAAATTGTTTACATTGTCCTAATACATTTCGAACCCAAGCCCATAGATAGTATTAATACAAATAGACAGAGGCTACTTAAGTGTAGCATCATCAATGTCTGCATGGGTTCAGCTTTGTTACTGAAAAAGGGCGAAAAACGCCTTCCATCAGGATGGCAGCTGTGCCTTTACCTTCACAGGAATACAAATGAAGAAACCTATCTCCAAAACCAATGAATGTTTAATTTTAACGTCAAATTATGGAAGCTTAAAAATGCAGCTAAACTTGAGAACATTTCTAATGAGCAGCTGATTTTAACTTACACGGTATCTCAAGTATACAGCTCAACTTATCGGCGAAGTATGCGATTTGGGATAGACAGTTAAGTAACCCAATTGAAAGCCCTGAATTGAGCTAACGGGCGATGCAGGTCCACTAGACCGATGTGGCCATTTTAGGTCTAGCTTATGCGGATTTCACGGAAACTGAGTTTAATTGTCCCATGGCTTTTATGATCATCTTGGCACTATATATTCTGTATTTGCACCGTATCTTCCTAGCGAAATCCGCTCCTTTACCGCACTCGTTATTGGCCTAGGCACAAGACAGAAAAGTCCGGGCCGGTATTGACAATATTAGCAAAGCTATGCAGTTGTAAATATGTATTGCCAATCAAAGGGTCGGTTATAATATGCTTTGTGAGTCGCTTCGGTTTGTGCGCTTTCTGTTTCAACCACGGTTTGCGATCAACATACCCAGTGAAAAGATTGCACAACCGTATAGATACAATCTACCTGTTCTAGCTGAGTTTAGTAAGTAAACACTAAGCACAAGAATTCCTCACCCGCCCTAATGTTGCAAACAGCAACAAAGTAAGCAAAAGCAATGAAGCAGTATGACGTTAGAAGAAACTGGATGTGACTTCGCACATCGCTGACTCGTTGCAATATAACAAATCTAACGGGCGCGGTTCTGGCTGCAGAGGGAAGACTGCAAATATCGCTCAACACTGCGGTTAACCGTGTTCATACTCTGTCGGACTCAGTCAGAACCCCCGCATTGTTGATGCATTCTACTGATAATCTTCACGAAATCATATCCACCGGATCCTGCTATATCTGAGTCCATGAATTTACCATTCCATGCCAGTCACATTTTTATAGGTGCTGGAAGCGGAATGTCATGCTTGATGACTAGCAGCACCGGATGACGAAGTACCGGGGGCTCTTGTTCGCTTACCGGTACAAGAAACTGGACATTCGTTAGGCGAAAATCTGTATCATCCTTAGAAGCTGACTTGAATTGACAGTGGCTCATCCTATACTGACGTGCATGTTACCAATATGTAGGAGAGAGAACCGCCTTCAACAGCAACGACTTCTTTTGCAGATTGCCACCATAGGAGGGGGCGGCTTACCAAAGCGTATTATCATTGTTACGGTGTCCCTTCTAAGCATGGCAGCGTATGATGGGCCGCAATAAATCGCAATTAGTATTCAGTCGTGGGTCCGCCAGGTTACTTTTGACTCAGTGTCTCAAGTAGCTGGTTGATAAAAGAGAGGTCTTGAGTTCGGATTTAGCAGCAACCGTCAATGAGTGCAAATAATGAGTTCCGTTGGCGCAAAACGGCTGTCTAAAGCTTTTTGAGATTGACAGTAGCTGTCTGACTGAGTCTGGCAGAAGCGCACCTCATAAACACAGAATATTTCCCACTACTTTTTAAGCACAAACTCGTTAATTTGTTGAAGTTCAAGTTATATTGGATCCAAGATTTCTGTGAGTTGCATACAACGCTGTGTTCTTAACTGGTAAAAGGATTAATCGCGCATAATAAATGAAATATCATTTGGTGCACGAATGGTGATCACAGCCGTCTGTGCGGTACTCATGGCACTAAGGTACCCGTAGAGTAACAAAATTCTTCGATATGTATCCTCAAAACAATACCATACGTATGGTTCCTGATATATGGAGACTCTGAATTTAGAAATGGAAGACATATGGATACTTCCACTGGTATCACCAC